GATTGCACAAAATTCTGATGTTTCCTAACCAAAGTGGTTCAAAGCGATCAATTTCACGCACTTAGCTTTCTTTAAAAAACTTGTAACTTTCCTTCAAAATCAAGTGGAAAGTTGAAATTTGAGCGATCGATAGTTGAGAATCGAGCCTTTAAGTTGAGAAATTTTTATTAAAATCGCGCAAAATCCGAATATTTGCTGACCAAGTCAATCGGGACCTAAAATGACCAATTTGACACACTTTCCTTCAAATAAGTGTAAATGTTCCATCGAGATTAAATGGAAACTTGCCATTTGCACGATCTGCAGAAGAGATTTGCGTTCCGAAATGCGTCTTTACGTTCCGGAAATACCATTAAGATTGCACAAAATTCTGATGTTCGAAATCAAGTGGAAACTTGAAATTTGAGCGATCGATAGACGAGAATCGAGCCTTTAGGCTGGGAAATTTTCATTAAAGTCGCGCAAAATCCGAATGTTTGCTAACGAAGTCAATTCTCCATTAAAATGACCAATTTTACACCGGCCCAATTTTCCCCAAACGCATTCCTTTACAAAATTGTAACTTCGATTAAGACCAAGTAGAAACCTGCACGATCTATTGAAGCGATTCAGATTCGATTCTTTATGTTCTGGAAATTTTCTTACCATCGCGCGAAATCCGAATGTTTGCCAACCAAGTCATCGTGGCCTAAAACGACAATTAACTCGCTTTCCTTTCATACATTGTAACTTTCCATCGAGATCAACTAGAAACTTGCACGATCCATATAGAAGAGCCTTTAAAGCGCCTTACGGTCGCAAAACTTCATTAAAATCGCCTAAGTTGCGAACGTTTGCCAATCAACCCAATTTAGCTTAGCGATACTAGCATTCCTTCCCCAAATTGTAACTCTTCATGAACATGAAGAAGAAACTGGAAATTTGCACTAGCCCAGCACACAAACACAGTTAATAGAAAAAGGAAGCGGGCGCAACTTCCACGGTTTTTGAACATTGATTTAAGCTCACTTGGACCACTTTTTGCACACTTATTAAGCAATTTGAAGGGAAAAAGATAAATTTGCTGTGCGGCCCTGCACCGAATTAAAATCGTCGGTAGCCAGCGCTTACCCTGAGGCTCAGCCACCCCACGCAATTCTTTAGGAAAAAATTGGGCCCCCAGTTTTTTAACCCCGCACTTTCGTACTTCGTTCAATGTATCTTGATTTAAATCCTTTTAAGATAATCGAAATGCGAGCTCATTCCTCCTTTGTTTCGGGGATTACTGGCGCTCTCCGTCTTTCCAAGCCTTTTAATTAGTTTGCGGATTATTTCGGAGTCAAGGCGTGGTCAATTGCGTTTTTTTCCCTTGAACCTACTCCAATTTTCTCGTTTAGATGGACATTGAATTAAATTAAATTAATCTTAGGGCAAATTCAAATTTTTCCTTCGACGTCCCGGGGGGCTGTTTAGCAAATTCGACTGATTTTCATAAATCTTCCAGTTGACCTAAATTTGAAGACACCAGATCTATATATTTTACACTATTGTAATGGGGAAGTATGAAAGAACACACACACAGGGAACAACACCTGGGTTTGGAAGTTAAAAGAAGAGACTGTGTCCTCCTTAAGGGCGTAATTAAGGTTTCTTAAAAAAGTGAGAAGTCGTTCCAAGAATGGGAGAAAGGCAATGTCTGTGACAGATCAATTAGTAACGTGCAATAAATGAAACTATGTTTTAGATAAAAAAAGAGCAAAAACCTCAACTACCTGTTCCCTTACCGGGCGGTCATCTTCTCCGTGGTTGCCATTCCAGCAAATTTTGCTCAGATTACCCCTAAGGAAAGTAAACTAGCCTTTCAACTTCAGGGTTTTATTGATTGATCAACATCCAAACGATTGTTTTGGATGTGGCGCGGGCAAAAATGCTTTTTATCAAACGCAATCCGATTTGCCAGTCGCTCGCCAGAAACCAATTTGCTGAAAATTTGCAACGATGCAGAGAAATTGGGCAGATTTTCGGAATTCGCAACAACCATGAAGACATTCACCGTTAACTCCAAATTGGCCGTTACGGTAGTTTTTTCAACACACAAGAAAGGATTCGCCACAATAGCCAGCCACTACCGTTAGGCTCGTCCGAAGAAATCGTCTCCAAGAAACACTAGGTCCTAACTCTATTCAACAGATACAGACCCTTTTTTTCCTACACTTTTTCGAAAGTCTATATATCCACTTGCTCTGCATGATGCTTTTTGTGTCGTCAATTATCCTTTTTGGCTTGTCTCAGGGTGACCAAAAATCTGTGTTCTCGGTAAGCGCAAATTAAAGCGGCAGTTTTATTTGAGCAATTGAACCCCTTGGCTTCCGCAGCAGTCCACTGTCTTTAAGATACCGTCAAGTGCTAAAATGAGGATTTGTGTCTTTGTAGTTTCAAACCGCAATTTCTCAGTTCACTTTTCAAACTGGTAACCCTAATTCTTTCACTGTATAGAGAAGGGTTTTGCTACACTTTCCATTTCCAAAAATTTCAAGCGAACCTTATTTTAACACCCAAAAATATCACCACATTTTTCATTTTTCCGGCCAAAT